AGAATTATGCATTAGATTTTTTCATTTAAAAATTACCCTAAATTTTTAGGAATGAAAATTACCCATAATTCCAGTCTTGGGCATCATCAGTTTCTGAAAATTGCTTTGTAGTTTAAAAAATATAAGCCCCCATTTGAAAAACCATTGTCATTAATCTAAGAAAAATAGCCTTATAACTAAGATTTCAAGAATTGTTGCATTTAAGTAAAATGTATTTTGTAGAATAACTTGAACTGGATTTTGTTATTTTATCTAATCATGATTTCAATTTTGATTCATCCTACAGAGCTTATTTGCCAGCTTGGAAACACAGACCTCTTTTGCTTTTACCCTTAACAGAAGTTGTTAAAACTCCTGGAATGTTCCTGGGGCACATCATTTCCATGGGCCCTCATCAGCAAAGTTATCTTTCTTTCTCTCTGGCCTCATAACAAGACTCCCCTGCATTAATACTTAACACTTCCCCTTAAAAAATAGCTGACATGGAAATTTATTTTTATTTCCTGTTAGGCTATGGTACCTAGTTACTATTATTAGAACTTCTATTTTTCTGAGTCCATGGTTGCTTTAAATGAATTTATCTTGTAAACATTTTAGAATTAAGGTTCAAAAAGTTTTTGCAAGCTTTTTGTCATTGTGCTTAACAACATAAACAGTAATTTTATCGATTTACTCTAGAAGGGGTTAGAAAAGGCCTCTTGCAAGCTGTTTGCAGTCTACTAGAACTTTTTTCCTCAATAAGTGTAGATTGTTAGGATTATCATTGCTGTTTGCTTAGCAGTGTAGTTTCAAATGTTTTGTGTTCGAACTTCATAAGGGGAAGAATAAGATTAGTATTGGGGACTGGTTTTGAAATGCTGCTAAAACCACAATTAGATGGTGGTAAATGACACTTTGAGAAGTAACTTTTAAAACTGCTGACTGCATTTGGTTCTGTATCAGATAATAACCAGTTTGTGTGTAGTATATGACTAGAGTTTTATATGGCAGGCAACTTTCCTTTTCCATCCATTTTTATTTCCCTTGACCGTTTTTCTACAGATATTTGTCAGGATACGAATCAGGTTCTCTTCAAATGCTGCCAGGGGTCTGAAGAAGTACCATGCAACAAACCAGTTCCTGTAAGCCTCTCTGAGGATCCCTGCTGCCCTCTGCATTTCCAGTTGCCTCCTCAGATGTATAAACCCGAGCAGGTACTGTCTGTGCCAGACGATCTGGAAGCCGGCCCCATGGATCTGTACTTGAGTGCTGCTGAGCTTCAGCCTACTGAGAATTTACCTCTGGAGTTCAGTGATGTAAGTTAGAGAAGCTCTGCTCTCGTTGGCCCTTGAGGCAAGGCCTCACTTATTAATGGTGAGAATAGGTTAGTGTTTTTGCGGTCAAGAGAGTTGATAGTATAATTTTTGAAGTGATGTATGTATGATTGTATGTTACAGTATTCATTTAGAGACAGTTTAAAATTGCAAATCTTTTTCTGAGGGAGTGATAAGGGAAATTTTGAACTAAGTGAAGTTGAGAAGTCAAAATTGTGGTTGGATTTGCTTGTAGCCAGGAATTTGGTGCCCGACCACAAGATGAGTCCTTAAGAACCTTAAATACACACAAATACTGCTAGCTACTCTTAACAGTATGAACTTGTTTTGACTCTGTAGTAAAGGCTTTTGTTTTTAGATTTAAGAATCCCCCATTCCCCCGCCCGCCAAGAATTGATTCTCAACTCTGGCTACTGTTAGATTCTATTGTGAATGGACTAGAATAAAATGATCTCCCGAAGTAATTAAGTATATACATCACTCTGTTTTTTAACCTTTTCCTTAATTGTTTCTAGCCCATAAATCCATTTCTGATTTCATCCCCGCCCCCCCCAGATCAGAAATACCTTCCTGTTTGATTTTAGGGATCAAATAGTACGTAATTGACATTGCATCTCCATCTTGGCATTTTGCTTAATCTTTAGATTTGTAAATAAAGGTCCTAGTTATTCTAAAGAGAAATTTTCTGAATTTCATAGTAAAGGTATTTTGATATGCCTATAACATGTTTAAGGTAAAACATCTAAATTGAAAAATTTAGTCTAGATTAAAATAATTTTGCTAAGGGTAGAAACAAGACTTGGGTGCTTTTAGGGGTATTGGTCCCTAAAAATGATATATCAGGGCAGGATAAAAGTTTATTTATTCAGGCTCAGAATATGAGAACTAGGAAGGATCCGTAAGGTCTGTGTACTCCATTACGTCCCCAAATTTCTCTCATGGTATTGTATTGAAGAGACTAAGTAGATAACCCTAGATGGGTAAGTTTAGAGTTTTGTCTGTTTGCCTTCTCTTTTTATATTAAGAAAACCCAGAGAGGGGCTTCTTTTTTTAGATATCAGTTGCTTTATAGAGTCCAATAAATAGTCTGATATAATGTGCATATGTAGAAACTAGCACATGAGCTTTATATAGACATTGGGCTATTAACATATTTTAGCTGATTGTTAGTTTCTAGGATCAGTATCTGCTTCAGCCTCTTGCTGCCTCCCCTTTCATCTGTTTTTGCCACATTAGTTTTAATAGTGTTTTTTTCTTAAAAGATAACTTTCCCTAACCTAGATTTAAGAAAATATGACTTTCAGTATATTTGAAGATTCTATTGTTTGTTCTTTGAAGAATGCACAAAATAATAAAGATCACAAGTTGTGATCATAGATGAAAAGTTGACATTTAAGGTTAATTAAAAAATATTTAACAGTATATCGTCGTGTCTCATCCGTATTCATGGCATGAATTTTTTTTTTTTTTTTAAAGAAATAATTCCTTTTTTTTTTTTTTTTTAAGATTTTTTTTTTTTATTTATTTATACAAGCACTGGGTACAGTCAGAAGCGCGGGAGGGTGAGAGAATTCACCAGAGCCAGAGCGGGGAACAGAACAGGCAGAAGGACTGAAGTACACTGCTGAGGGGAGTAGCGGGCGGCAGGAGAGGTCTGCGCGCCATGTGGGACCCTCCTCCGGTGGCCGGGGAGCAGCCGGGGATCGAACCGGTGCTGCAAAGGCTGCGGGCAGCTTCACAACCCAGCGCTCAACCGCTGCGCCACGGGGGAGGCCCATTCATGGCATGAATTTTTGAAAAATTTTTACACCCTCTGTGACTTGAATTTTTTAAAGAATGTATGAGAAGTAACCATATACTTGAGAATCCAGTGGATTTTTAAGATGACCTTTGTTGTTGTAGGTATAAAAATAATAAGCAGTCATCTGTACTTGATCATCTCTTACAGTCATATCTGTACCTTTATAAATCACATTGAGCATTAAAAAGTACAGTTTTAGGGGCCTTCCCCGTGGCGCAGCGATTGAGTGCTGGGTTGCGAAGCTGCCCGCAGCCTCTGCAGCGTTGGTTCTATCCCCAGCTGCTCCAGGCCACCGGAGGAGGGTCCCACATGGCGCGCAGACCTCTCCTGCCGCCCGCTGCTCCCCTCAGCAGTGTGCTTTCGGCCTTCTGCCTGCTCTGCTCCCTGCTCTGGCTCTGGTGAATTCTCTCACCCTCCCGCTCTTCTGACTGTACCCAGTGCTTGTATAAATAAATAAATAAATAATTAAAAAAAAAGTCCAGTTTTATTAATCTTTGAAGGTAAAAGTTCTCTAAAAAATGTCCAAATCCGCTTTATAAATGAATTTTTGTCCGAATCTGAATATATTTACTAATAACAATTTAGGTTGGGAAAAATGATTTCTTAATCACATTAATTTCACCAAGTAGTTTTAACTTGCTGCTTATGTTCCAACTCAGGTAGCATTTGTGTAAATTGTTAGTAATAGTAATTTCTGGTAATTTACTTAAGGGAGAACCACATATTGGTTATGAATATAGGTTAAAAAAATGCAGTTTTTCATTTTGGATATTACACTTGTCTGTTTTCTGTGCTTGGATCCAAGGATGATTGGCAAGCAGCATCTTAATACCTTAATCCTGTTGCCTTGGGCCAGCACTTTTTAAATGGTTTGAGATCTCAGGACAAAGTTTGAATTTTTATCTTTGTGTCCTGATACTTAAGTCTCTATTCCTATTAGGATAGGCATTTCTGCTGATTCTTTCTTCCTCTTGTAAGTTAGGGTCCTTTTCTTACAATAGACCACTGAATTTATGAGAAGACATTTCATTGTCTTTTCCTTTGAAAACACTGGCATTTCATTGTTATCCTGAGTCTTGGAGACTTTTATTTATTTATTTATTTATTTATTTATTTATTTATTTTTAAGATTTACTTATGCATACAAGAGCTGGGGTGTAGGCTAGAGGTGTGGGGGATGAGAGGATTCACCAGAGACAGAGTGGGGAACAGAACAGGGGGTTGATTGAAATACACTGCTGAGGGGAGCAGCGGGCGAGACAGGAGAGGTCTGCTGTGCCATGTGAGTCACTTCCCTGGCCAGGGATCAAACTTGTGCTGCAGTAGCTGCGGATTGCTTTATAGAGGTGACGCTTAACCCCTTGGGCCGCCAGGGAGGCTCTTGGAGAACTTTTTGTACACTGCTTGAATGGTTTTTTAAAAAATTTAAGTTGAGTTTTTGTATAATTGGGCATAGTAAAAGAATTGTAGAAAACATGTCATAGTCTTAACTGTGAGAAAAGTGATTTGTGTGGATTTCAGAGTTTTTTGACACTTTTGAAGTGGATGTTAGATAGTTGACTATATCCTTTTCCCTATCTGTGTTTAAACTGAGCAGCTATTAATTATATTCTTTTTCTTTACCTTAACTACCATGAAGATGTGATTTTCATTTTTGGTAATTAGCACACCAAGTAAAGGGGAAGGATTTCAAACATTTGTAATCACAGAACTGAGTTTCTCACGAAGCTGGTTTATTGCAAACATCAAGCCTCTCTAAAGTGCATCAGGCTGAGGAAGTATAAACCCTTGGGTATTTTTTTACTCTTGGAAAGGAAAATTTTACAGTGAATTCTTAGAAGTAGTGCTGTGAAAGTCATACACATTGACTGAGCCTCTGAGGTTCTGAGGTCCTGAATTGAGATCAGTGATTTGCTGTAACTGTTTGTTTCACACAGGAGCCAAGAACAGTGTCTTTCTGTGATTTGTTGGCCATTCAGTACCCAGTGGGAATTGCCAGTTGGAAGAAACATAGTCTGTAGAATATAATGCCTTATTCTCTTTCTTCTTTATTTTTTAAAGATTTATTTTTATTTATGCATACAAGAACTGGGGTATAGGCCAGAGTGTGGGGGGGGTGGTGAGAGGATTCACTAGAGACAGAGTGGGGAGCAGAATGGGCAGATCTATTGAACTACACTTCAGAGGGGAAAGCGGGCAAGATTGGAGAGGTCTGCTGTGCCAGGTGGTTCAGCTGCCCGGCCGGGGACTGAATTCAGGTCACAGTGGTTAATAGTGCTGAGACTTAACCCTAGCCCATCAGTGAAGCCCTTTTCTTCTTTAACAGCATAGTTGGACTATATCAGTTTAAGAATCAGGGACTTTGGCTGTCGGGATAGGGACTTAATCAAAATAGTTATTTCCTAGCCATTCAGAGAGAGTTGGAGATTTTTCTGTCCCCTACCCTTTACTCCCACTTTCCTTTTTTGCTCACTGACTTGGTTTTAAGCCACCGGCTATAAAACATTAATCAACCATCTCGTTTTGCCCAGTCTTTTAAAGCAGTATTTTAATTTATAGTTATGCTAATTGTCCATATTTACTATTATTAGTTCAGAGGGAAGATGCTTTAAGATTTTCACTTACTGTGGTAAAATAATTGTAACATAATTCTTACTGTATTGTGCAATCATCACTATCCATTTCCAGAACTTTTTCAGCAGCCTAAATAGAAACCCTGTGTACATTAATGTAACTCCCTCTTCCCTTCTCACCCCAGCTTCTGGTAACCACCATTTCTTTTTGTCTTTAAATTTTTCCTTTTTTAAAAAAATATGCTTTTTAAAGCCAGTGCATGTTCTGTTCTTTGGGCGTGGCAGCAAGACAATTTTTTTTATTGCTTTTTGATCTTAATTCGTTTGTTGGATATTCTGGGACAATATTTGATGAAAGGTAGGAAGGGGTGAGGGTAGTATGGGAAACTTGATTTGAGGTTTGCTGGAAAATGTGTCAGCTTCAGCTTACTGGTTTCCTTAGTATTGCTGAAAGACCTTTGTTTCTCTCTTTTCCTAGGACCTGGATGTTGTGGGTGATGGTATGCAGTACCCTCCTTCACCCTTGCTTTTTGATCCTTCACTGAACCTTGAAGATCATTCAGTCAAAGAAATTGCCAAAGGCCCAGTGGATATTTTGGCAAGTGAAGAACAACCCAGGCAGGCTTTCCTCCTGTAATGACTCAGCCAGGCAGAGGGTTCCCTGCTGAACAGCCTCTACTCCCAGGGAGTTGGGGATGTTACCACAAATATCAGACTAAAGGTGCCTCATGAGGCTTTTGCTCAGTGAATACCATGTAAGGAAGGTACTATTAAGAACAGTCTTTCTGTTCCTGAATGCCCCTGTTGCTCCAGTTTTTCAGAATGGGCCCTTAAAGAGCAGGATATACATTTATTTAGTTAACTAGAGAAGGTTGAGGCAAGAAATCCAGGTAAATTGTTTCTTTTTCTTGACATATAAAATTACATTACTCCTCCAAATTCTCAGTTCTTTTTTGCCCCACCATATTCTCTTGTACTCCTTTGACTCTTTCCTCCTCCTTTTCCCCCCACCCTTTAGCCCCAGAAGCCTTTATTTATTAGTTTATGTATATATTTTGCTTTGTTGACACATCTCTGTGTATAATCATCCAGTATTTTTGTCATCCTGAATTGCTTTACTATAATAATTCCTTGAATTCCTTCCATTTTGCTGTAAATTGTAACATTTCATCTTTCCTCTTGGCTGAATAATCCATCGTGTGGATGCACCATATTTTAATCCAGTCCTATCAGTGGTCAGTGAAGGTTGTTTCTGTCATGGTTCTTATAAATAATGCTGCAGTAAACATTGTGGCACAAATAATTTTTTGCATTGATTGTTTCATGTTCTTTGATTTGATGCCCAAGAGTGAAATTGCTGAGTAATACAGTATTTCCATTTTGGTAACTCCAGATTGCTTTCTGAAATGGCTGTACCAGTTTACATCCTACCAACAATATAATAGGGTTCCTTTTGCTCTGTATTCTCTCCAGAACTTGTTGTTGAGGATCTTTTTAGTGTGTGCCATTCTCATAGATGTGAGATGACTTAGGGTTTTGACCTGAATCTCCTTTATTAAAAGTGATGGGGAACATTTTTCTGTATATCTATTGGTCTTCTAGATAGCCTCTGTGGTGAGTCATATCTGTTGCCCGTTTACTAATTGGGTTATTTTTATGAATAGGTTTTTGTTTATGTTGACACTTTATTGGTTGTGTGCAAATGTCATTATAATCTATATTTCCTTTCGTTGTGTAAAAACTTTAATTTGAGGTATTCCCAATTGTTTATTTTTCTTGTAGGGGTCAGGTCTTCAAAAATATCTTAGTCATTGCTGTCATAAAACATCACCAATGTTTTCTTCTATGTATTTTTTTGTTGCAGGTCTTATGTAAGCCCTTAGTCCACTTAGAATTCATTTTGAGCATCCTTTTTCTCAGGATTTGTTTTGATATTTGAAGCTTCTTATGGTTTCACATAAATATCAGTGGTTTTGTTCAATTTCTTTGGATAATATTATTGATATTTTGATGGGATTTACATTTAAATTATATGTTGCTTTTGGTAAAATACTCATTTTGACTATATTGATTCTCCCCATCCATCCGCATGAAATGTTGTCTTTCTGTCTCCCTGATGGGGTCCTGTGCCCTTAATCAATAGCAGAGGGACTCTGTGTAATAGCCTCCTTCATGTGGGTTGTACTGCTCCTGTATTACTATCAACAGTTTATTTTTTTTCTACCACTTTCTGTCATGCCATTGCTTATGATACATGCAGTAGTCAACCATTTATCTTTCAGGGGTTGTTGTCTTGGTTTTGTGGTAATTTGGTTATGCTTATGTGGACTAGGCAAGTCCCATGTCTTCTGTGTCACCATCTTGCCAGACTTCTAAATTGTTCCTTTTTTTTTAAAAGATTGATTTATTTATACAAGCACTGGGGTACAGTCAGAGGCATAGGAGGATGAGAGAATTCACCAGAGACAAAGCAGGGAGCAGAACAGGCAGATGGACTGAAGACACTGCTGAGGGGGGGGGGCAGTGGGCGAGGCAGGAGAGGTCTTACCGTGCCATGTGGGTTTCTCCCTGGCTGGCCAGGAATCGAACCCGCACTGCAGAGGCTACAGACAGCTTCACCAGCGCAGTGCTCAACCCGCTGCGCTACCGGAGAGGCCCCTGAATTGTTCCATTTGAGGGAGAGAATTGTTTCCATAGTAGAGTCAAGAGAACGTAATGAAGATTTGGCTGTTTTTTTCTGAGCTGGGAAATTGGCCCTGACTGAAGACCAGCAGTTACACTATAGCTGTTGGTTTCAAACAGAGGCCCAAAGGACTCTCTTCCTGTGATCTGTTGGCTGTTCTGGAACCTCAGCAGAGAATGGCTATTTCATGTGGAAGAAACAGCCTACGAATCTTCCCTTGGGAGAAATGATGACTTCCGACTATGGGACAGAGGTTGAGGTAGTAAAGTATGGAGAAGAGCAGCTGGCTAGTTACTCCTTTTCTGCTGTCTTGTTTGCTGTCTTATATGGGCATTGTTAAGTCAGATTTGTGCCTCTCTCCACCGTGAATAAATTTGTAACCAAAGTGCCTCTATTTCTTTTAACAGGGCCAGGTGCAGATGGCTGGAGATGTCTGCAGATTACAGGGATCTCGGAATTCTGAGAAAGTATCTGCATTGTTGCCTCAAAGTGGAGTGGCAAATGGGAAGCCAGATCCCAGTTCTATCAGTTGATAGTTTTGTTTTGGGAACCAACTGACTAAGGAGGATTTGAATTTTCCATTCTTTAAAGAAGTTTTTCTAACTAGCTCATTAAAAGCAGCCCAGACTATCTTTCTCTTCTGGGTTATTAAGTGCTGCAGTCACATAAAGCCAAATTTGGGGGAAGGGACTGTAATGTTGAAATGTTGTGGGTGCCTTCCCATTATGGACAAGAGAGAGTGATGTCAGAGCTGCTGGAAGACAGAGAATGTTTGGGACTGCTGAGAGGAGATATCTTTGTAATGGGCTATCCAGAGTCTTGGGAGGAATCTATGTAAGTGGTTGGGTTGGAGCCGTATACTTCTGGCATATTGGTGGAGCCATGTCTAGTTATCTCTTTTTAACAGCCTACATTTTAGCCTTTCCTTACCTCTCATCTAGTTGGGTCATGTGAACCCTCTGCTCTCCATGAACTCTAACCTATTACTTTTCTGAGAAAATAGCCACAAAAACTGGTCCCTCCTTAACAATGTAGCTTGCTTCTAACTTCTGTATATTTCCGTAGTAGTTATCTTATATAAGATAAAAATACTGGTACAGTTTATATTAAATGTTAAATAAAGTGTTATGAAAATGTAAAAACAATCACTTGCATGCATGTTTTGTTCATATTTGAGAATATACGGGTATATTTTGGGTCCTCAGGTCTCTAATGGAAAAGGGACAGTAAATGCCAAGAAGTGAATAATACACTTTCACTATGGTTGTGGTTTGGAGAATGAGATAAAAGTCGGTAAGAACTAAATGGAAAGGGGTGGGACTTAATTATTGAAGTGTATCAGTTCTAGATTCCTTTTCTTTTCTCACTCTACACTCCCTTCTCCCAGTCCCAGATCTTTGTCACAATTAATTCCTGATTATGTCAAAATTCTCGAGCTGAGAATATAAAGCTTTCAGAGATACTGGGCCTGATGCTGGATCACAGAGTTAAGCATAAGTTGTCAGGATATTTTGATGATGAATATAATGGTAACGTTAAACTGGAAGTTGGGGTTGAGGTTCCCAAGCTGGGAGTTGTCTTACTATAATGCATTCTGACAAGGAGGCCAAAAGGACTCCCTTCTGATGAGGACTGGACTGAGAAACAGTTCACTACCACCTTGTCTTTAGTTTAAATGTTTACATTCAGAGAATGGTTGAAACTAACCCAGAAGGCCCATCAGATGGATTCTTGAGGTTACCTTTTTTTTTTTTAAATTTTTTTTACATCATTGTTCATTTTTTTTTTTTTTAATTTATTTATTCATCTGTTTGTTTTGTTTATACATGCACTGGGTACAGTCAGAAGCGCGGGAGGGTGAGAGGATTCACCAGAGCCAGAGCGGGGAGCAGAGCAGGCAGAAGGACCGAAGTACACTGCTGAGGGGAGCAGCGGGCGGCAGGAGAGGTCTGCACGTCATGTGGGACCCTCCTCCAGTGGCCGGGGAGCAGCCGGGGATCGAACCGGCGCTGCAGAGGCTGCTGGCAGCTTCGCAACCCAGCGCTCAACCACTGTGCCACCGGGGAGGCCCACATCATTGTTCATTTTTAAACAATATTTGCTTCCCTCCCCCTCAGGTGTTTCTTTCAATGCATAGAGTTTCTTTCAATGCATCCGTGCATCGTCACCTCTGTCCTCCCTCCCTCTGATCCCTCTTCTGCCTCCTCCCCTGCAGTACGTCTCTTGAGATTACCTTTAATAGGTCTTGCACTATTGCTCTTGTCCCCACTGCTTGCTTGACTTCCTGCTCTATCTAGTTCATTATACACTTCATCTACAAAGGCAGATGTTACTTACATAGGTATGAGCATGCCTACTTAAGGATAGCTTATACAACCTCTTGTTTTTTTTGTTTTTTTTTAAAGATTGATTCATTTATGCACACAAGAACTGGGGTACAGGCCAGAGGTATTGGGGGTGAGAGGATTCACCAGAGACAGTGGGAGCAGAACAGGCAGACCAACCGAAATACACTGCTGAGGGGAGCAGTGGGCGAGCCAGGAGAGGTCTGCTGTGCTATGTGGGTATCTCCCCGGCCGGGGATTGAACTTGTGCTGTAGTGGCTGCGCACAGCTTCATAGGTTGTGTCTTAACCCCTTGCGCCTCCAGGGAGGCCCACAACCTCTTGTTTTAACAGATAGCAAGGAGACCATTAGGATCCACATCTGCATTTTGTAGCACCGCAGGCATTCTGATGACCACTCAAGTTTGCAAACCCAGCTCTGACAAACCGAGAAGGGCACATATGGGTAGTATCTCTCCAAGTTCCTGGCTTCTGTAAGACACAAGGAAAACAGGATTTGTTACGAAGAACCTCAGACTCAGCGTCTGAGAAAGTGAAGCTGAGATCTGGTACAAGACAAGGATGTCCACTTTCACCACTACTATTCAACACAGCATTGGAAGTCCTAGCTAGAGAAATCAGGCAAGAGAAACAAATGGAATCCAATTTGGGAAAGAAAAAATATAACTTCTTTACTGCAGTATGGTGGCATGGTACAAAATCATTCTTATTTCAAACAAGTTTGAAGAGAAAGAAATCCAGAAAATAATCTCATTGACAATTAAACAAATATCTAAATACCTTTGTTAACAAAAGAAGTGAATAATATATACAAAGAAAACTTTAAGACATTGTTAAAAGAAATAGAAGAAGACAAAGAAATGGAAATAATAGTTCTGCGAATGGGTTGGAAGAACAAATACTGTTAAGATGGCCATCCTACACAAAGCAATATGCAGATTCATTGTAATTCCTATCAAGATTCCAACGGCATTCTTTAAAGAAATAACACCATTGAAATTCACATGGAAACACAAAAGACTTCACAAAGCTGAAGTGTTCCTGGACAGCCACTTGCAGAAGAGAGGAGATTTGGGGCACGAGCTTTTCCATTAGCTGTTCTCACTTTCTACTTTCTATATCTTTCTGTGAAGAATTGTAATTGTTCCCATTAAAGTCTGTCTTCATTTTCAGATCACCCCGCCCTTATATGCTAGTTTGCAAACATTTCTAAGGAAATAATGCATCCTCTTCCCCGAGGCATATTTATTTTCTCTTCTGCACTGAGCTATGCTGGAGACCTAGATACTGCTTTTTATTCTTTCAGGAAAGGGCAGAGACGCAATCGAATTATAGGCAAGCAGGCTGCTGGCAGAACTCTTGACTGGAAGCATAGAACGCACCCAGGGGCCCTGGGTCCCAGCCCACCGTTTCATTCTATCACAGGCACTTAGTCCGAGCGCAGGCTGTGGGTCTGCTAGGATTAAAGAACTGCTTAAGCCACCAGTTTGGCTATGCAGTTCAGCTTTTCAGTACAAAGTCCATTAGGCCCAATCAATTAACTACTGACCCTGCAGAGACGCCTCTTAAGTTAAACAAGAGCAAGATGCTTAATCTCCTATGACAATGAGTATATGAGGCATGACCAGGAAGGCCTGGGGAGCCGTGGACGGATAGGTAACTTTGCGTCCAGAGAGACATCATCCGTGGAATGCCTTGTTAACAAGATGGCTGCCAGAAGCAAAGACCAGAAAGTCTGATTTTGGTCTTCAAACTTTGGGCCATTAAACTGGGCTGTAAATCTGAATTGGGTTTGCAGACTCCTCTCTCCTAAAATGCAGTTAACCTAAACATACATCCCTTCTTCCTAACTTTTCTCTTTGTCCTGACTTGAGTAATTGACTCCACAATCACTCCCTCAATAAAAGGCGAGGTTCTACCTTCTTAGGAGCATCCTGCAGAACAGTTTGCTCCACGACTCCCATTTCTTTGTCAGTGTGGTGGTGCCTGACTCAACACAGGGCAGAAAGTAGTATATACAAGACTTCACTATTGGCATACAGTCCTCAGACCTCACTTTTCTTTTTTTTTTTTTTGTGGGACCCTCTCTGGCAGCCGGGGAATGAACCGGCGCTGCAGAGGCTGCGGGCAGCTTCGCAACCCAGCGCTCAACCGCTGCGCCACCAGGGGAGGCCCAGACCTCACTTTTCTTATCTGTCCCTCTCCCATGTAGTTCAAAGTCATCCTCTCACTCTCAGCCATAGCAAGCCACACTGGCTTAACGTGATAGAATTCCTATCCCCGTCCTTCAAGCACCCCTCTAATGTCCACAGGTGGACCAGAGGACAAGATGCAATGGCAGCACTTTGGCTGTGTCTCTGGATGCCTTGCTGAAGTACTATCTGCTCATCTCGGCAGACCTAGATCCTCCACGCTCCTTTCATTCATACTACGGCATATGCTGGTCATCCAAGTGTATGGGAGATAGAGTAAAACCAAGAGGAGTTCACCCTAATGAGTTGTTATACAACAGGTTATACCTGTAGTTTGGAAGTCTTAAACAGTTGTTAGGATGGATATATGCCCACTGCGATACAAGAAAAGAGGTTTAGGGGCCACCCCTGGTGGCGCAGCGGTTGAGTGCTGGGCTGCGAAGCTGCCCACAGCCTCTGCAGCACCGGTTCGATCCCCAGCCTCAGGTGAGGGTCCCACATGGCGCGCAGACCTCTCCTGCTGCGCCTGCTGCTCCCCTCAGCTGTGCATTTCGTCAGTTTGCCTGTTCTGTTCCCCGCTCTGGCTCCTCTCACCCTCCCGTGCTTCTGACTGTACCCAGTGCTTGTATAAATAAAATAATCTTTTTTTTTTTTTTAAAAAAAAGGGGGTTTAGAGCCTGGGATATAGGGGGCAAGTCCTGGTATGAAGGAGACTATCAGTTATTAGCCCTGTGACATGCAGCTTGACGCCAGCAGAATTTTTCAGAATTGGTATCTTTAATTCTACTTGCTCAGCAGGGCTGAACTTAAGCATTAGATCCAAACCTTTGCTTTATAGGCTCCAGATAAAACCTAATGCAGTCTTTAAGTCCTTGAAGTCCAATCTTCTTACTGCCTTGGGTCATTCCATTTCACCTTCTGTGGCCAACTTTGAGGCTCTTCACAAGTTTCTATACATGTGTAGAACATATATCCATTACATGTTACTAGTCTTAGATTTACACAGTTTTCCCTAATGCCTACTTCACAGAGGATCCGGTTGTCCGGTGGTGGTGGTGGCTGGAGGCTTGGGAGCCTGGTGATAGCCAAACACTGTCATACAGACTTTTCAAGTTATTCATTTTTCTGTATGAGCAGGTCTCTGGATCCAAGTTATGCTTCTCAAAACCCCCGTTGCCACTCTAACTGCTCCTGAAGCACAATATTGAGGATCTCCCCCTGGACACTGTTTGATGGCTTGGTTGACTGGACAAGTGTCAGCTCTCATCCCGAGCCCAGGCATGTGGTGTCACATGCCGGTTTTTCCATATTTTACATCTCTGAGGGGAAGGGGAGTTGGCTATGGATGCTCGCTGTGTTTTCTGATGGCCTCATTTGTATTACCCCCCCACCCCCCCCAGGCCTCCTTTGTTTCTGAGAGAGGCGGGGACATCCTGTTTCCTGGAACCAACCCTCCAGAAATGAAGGTATAAACAAAGCCAATGGGAAATAGGATGAGGCTTGGAATGTTCTCTGAACAGAGAACAATATAAGTTATAGACTGGAGAGGGGGGGGGGGGGGGGGAGAGGAAGGAAAAGTGGTGAACTTGTGGCAGGAGGTTGGCAGGCTTCTTGTCTTGTTGGCATGACCAGTTCCTCTTTCTCGTCTTCCTGGAAGTGGGGCTTGGGGCCAGGGCCCCCGAGGCTTTCTCTGTGAATAAAAGGAGCTCGAGTTGACTGGTGTCCCCATTCAGGTCCATGGGGGCAGCCGAAATGATGTCCTTCCTCTCTCTGCTCCTGGTGGGCATCCTGCTCCCTGCTACCCAGGCCAAGCAGTTTACGAGATGTGAGCTATCCCGGGAGCTGAGGGAGATGGACGGCTACAGGGGCGTCACTCTGCCAGAATGTGAGTTCTCTCGGGCTTGTTACACCCTGTCATTTGCTTCTCTCCTCCACCCTCCACGACTCCCCTGTTCTCTCCCACGTCTACTCAGTTATCTGATAACCCTCTTATATTATCTGCTTATGTTTACTTTTTTTTTTTACACTTATTTCCCTCTCTGTCCTTTCTCCCACTTTCTGATTCTTTTTGAAACTGTATCCTGTCAAGATACTCTGTGCTGGGCCTCCCTGGTGGCTTAGGGGTTAAGTTTCAGCTCTGTCACCACGGCAGCCTGAGTTCCAGCCCCGGCCAGGGAGCTACCCACATGGTGAGGCAGACCTCTCCTGTCTCTCCCACTGCTCCCCTCAGCAGTGTATTTCAGTGGATCTGCCTTTTTTGCTCCTCACTCTGTCTCTGGTGAGTCCACTCACCCCCCACACCTCTGGCCTGTACCCCAGCTCTTGCATGCATGCATGCATAAATAAATAAATCTTTTTTTTAAAAAAAGCTACCCTGTTCTTTGCCAAACTGGGGCATTGACTGGAGAGCCTGAACATCTCGTGATACCTCTTTCTTCTCTTCCCCTCAGGGATCTGCATTATATTCCACAGCAGTGGTTGTGACTCACAAACTGTAGTCAGCAACAACGGCAGTACAGAGTACGGACTCTTTCAGATCAGTAACAAGCTTTGGTGTAAAGACAACCAGAACCTTGAGTCAAAGAACATCTGTGACATGTCCTGTGACAGTGAGTAGCCTTGTTGACCCCGTTTCTATATTTCCCTGGAGCCTACCCCGGGATCATCTTGTTGCTGTTAATCATACCTGACGTGACTGACTTAGCCCTCGCACCCACTGTGGGAGTTGAATTGATGGCATGAAGTAAGACACTATTCGAATTTTTCATGATCACTAAATCCTTACAGTCCCTTGGAGTTCACAGGGAAACAATATGAGCTCTCCGGGAGTCGTGGACTCTGACAGGGTACATTTTCAGAGTAAATAAGTTGATGAATTGATATTCCTCTAACCATGGCCCAGAGACATGAAGGAGTCCCTACCTAAGAGGAGGTACCTGTTTCCTCCTAGAGGAAGGCCAAAGATGTGAGTCTCCCGCAGAGAAGGACTCTACCTTCTAGACCCAGGCAGGAAAGAAACCCATTACCTCTATGGATAATACTTCGCTTTCTCATCCCTTTTCCTGTTCCTCCTGCCAGAGTTCCTGGATGATGACCTCACGGATGACATGATGTGTGCTCGGAAGATCCTTGATAAAGAAGGCATTGACCACTGGTGATTTCCCACATATTTTTTACCTTTCCTTTCCCTTCCTTCTTACCCTTTAGTTTTGGCCCTCGCCCTCCCCCTCCCCTGCCCGCCCCTCATCTTCTGGAAGCTAGAATAGTTTCCACAGCATACTTGATCGAGCAGACTCAGTTTTCTAGATCTTAAGCTTCCCTCCCTCCACGCATGTTTAATAATTTTCCTCATAAATGGTTCCCTAATAGAGGGCGGAGACCCGGGCCTTTCTTCAGCTACTCTCACATCTAATTCTACTTCTTTAGTCTCAGACCCTAAAGCAAGCTCTTGGAGCCGTTGCTTATCTCTCCAAGCGCTCCCGTTTTCTTGGATGTAAAAAATGGACCCATCCCCATGAGGTGGCTCAGTGTCTTGAGTCATCTGTTCTGGAAGAGTCTTTCTGTAATTTTCATCCACAATTTTCCACATCAGCCCTCTTGGGGATAAAGCTGGATGAGGGTTCGAGCTGAGATCCCATCAACCAACTTCCCCTCTCTCATTCTCCGTTATCAGGTTGGCTCATAAACCGCTCTGCTCTGAGAAGCTGGAACAGTGGCGCTGTGAGAAGTGGTAACGCCTGCTGTCCCTCTGTGCCTGCCCGCTCCATCTGCCCTGTCCGTGTTCGTAGAATTCCTCTTCCCTGTGGCTACCTCAGTTTGCTTCTTTTTATCCCCTCGACATTAATTTATCACTGCATTCTGGGCCCTGTGGGATACACTGGACATTGGAGAACTGTTCTCCGGGGACACACAGCTGGTGCACTAGATTCCTGCTCAGTTTCCCTGATGACATTTCAGTTCAATGGATTCCACCTCTGTTCTGAATAAAGGGCTTAATTTTCAGTGACTGATTGAGTTTTCTATCTGGAGGGAGAGGAAGAAAATAGAGTGGGTGAGGGGCCTCCCCGGTGGCGCAGCAGCTTGAGTGCAGCAGCTTGAGCGCAGCACTGTGAAGCTGTCCACAGCCTCTGCAGCGTGGGTTTGATTCCCAGCCAGCCAGAGAGATACCCCCATGGCACGGCAGACCTCTCCTGTCTCCCCTGCTGCTCCCCTCAGCAGTGCTTTTGGTCCAGCCGCCTGTTCTGCTCCCTGCTCTGCCTCTGGTGAGTCCTCACACCCTCCCGCACTTCTGGTCTGTACCCAGCTCTTGTATAAATAAATAAATCTTAAAAAAAAAAAAGGAAATAGGGTGGGTGAGTGTACACTGAAGTCATATGTCGTAGCCACCATTTGTCTCCACCGAAGAATAGGCTGAGCTTAGAAAGACGGAGGTAATAACCCTCTGGTCATTACTCAGTTTTCAGAGACTAAGAGTTGTTTTTATTGTGACTTGGTTATTTATTTTCCACATATGAGATGAAACAACCCAATAACTGTCATTTATTTTCTGACTTACTTCGCTTAGCCTGATCACCTCAAGTTCTATACGTATTGTAATGAAAGGCAAGATTTTGATAGCTGAGTAGTATTCTACTGAGCGTATAGACCACAACTCCCGTATCCAGTCATCTGTCATTGAGCATTTAGGTTGTTCCCATGTCTTAGCTATGTGAATAACACATTTACTTCTTTTTGTTGATCCACTGTTAGTGTCATTTTTTAAATTGAATTTTATCTTTTTGGTAACATGTATTTTTATTGAGGTAGTATTGGTTTACAACCCCGTGCCTGATTTAGGGGCATAGGATCACACCCCTTTTTTTAAAGGTTTATTTATTTGTGCATACAGGCCAGAGGTGCGGAGGGAGGGGGTGAGAGGATTCACCAGAGACAGAGTGGGGAACAGAACAGGCAGACTGACTGAAATACACTGCTGAGGGGAACAGTGGGCGAGACAGGAGAGGTCTGCTGGGCCATGTGGGTCACCTCCCTGGCTGGGGATGGAACTCGTGCTGCAGTTGCTGCTGATTGCCCCATGGTGCTGATGCTTAACCCCTTGCTCCACGAGGGAGGCCCCAGGTCACACCTCTTTAGCTGCACATTACAATACCATCTCATCACTGAACATCCACAATCTTCCACCATAGACTATTGGGCCTTTTCCCCCACATTCCATCTCTTTTAGCCTCAATTTTGCAGTGCTATTTCTAGGTTTTGTTTTGCTGTCGCTTTGTCTGTTTCTTAGTTTTGTTTGTTTATATTCCACATATGTGTGGAATCATCTGGTATTTGTATTATGCAAGGCCTGGGGGAGGCTTGGAGGAGGCTCTAGAGACACCCCTGATCCCACAAGACCCCCATGGTTGTGTCCAACATCAAGTAAATGCCCAGAACAGCAGGAGAGAAGGATTCATACACAACAAAAACACCAGCTGCAGGAGAGCAAAGCAACAGCAAACAATGGGAAGAAGGAAAACACAATGGCCAAGGAGCCCACAGGGAACAACACACACAATGAAAATCGGACTCAGAACCCAACAACCATGACAGAGGAGAATTTTCCACCATGTCAGATGAGGGATTCAAAATTACTATACTTAAGAGAGTCAAAGAATTTGAACAACACTCAGAGAACCAAATCAGAAATAAACGAAAAGACCCAGAAAAGAAAAGACTGATACAAGAAACAATCAATGAAAAGAAGAAAAGGATTTAAACTTTAAATAAAGGATAGAGGAGGTACAGGATATTAAAAGATGAATAGAGAAGGGGCCTCTCTGGTGATAGAAGGGGTTAAGACGCAGCACTATGAAGCTATCTGCAGCCTCTGCAGCACGAGTTCGATCCCCAGCCAGGGAGGTGACCTACATGGCGCAGCAGACCTCTCCTGTCTCGCCCGCTGCTCCCCTCAGCAGTGTATTCCAGTCAGTCTGCCTGTTCTGCTCCCCACTCTGTCTCTGCTGAGTCCTCTCACCCCCTGCACCTCTGGCCCACACTCCAGCTCTTGTATGCATAAATAAATCTTTTAAAAAAGGAGATACAAATTTCAGAAAAGCCATGAAAATAGAACAGATGGTTTGGAAGAACGAATCAGTACTCTGAAGACATAGATATGAAAAGAACCAAGAAAGTGAAGGAAAGAGAGATACAAAGAAAAAAGAATGAAGAAACACTTTGAGAACACTGAGTCCCTGAGGAAATCATGTACAAGTCAAAGGAGTCCCAGAAGGAGGAGAGACAAGGAAGCTGAAAAACTATTCAGACGTAATTAAAGAGAACTGCCCAAAGTTGAGCAAGAGATGTAAATAGACATACGGGAAGCAGGCAGGATGTCAAACTGTCATAGTGAAAGGGAAACTTCAGCAGGACATAGAGCAGTAGAGCTCCCAAGAGTCCAAGACAAAGAAAGAATAATGAAGCTGAAAAGGGGAAAGAAACTGGTGACATTTAAAGGAAAACCTATCAGACTAACACCAGACTTCCTGTTTCTCATTTTTCTGGAAGGAGCGATAGCTGAGTTTTCTGTCTTTCCCATCCTGAGTTGACACAGCATTGGTAAAGTCTCCCCCCAAGGGACACTCTGTCGTAGGAGTTTGGCACTCAGTGTATGGGTTCCCTTCTTTCACTTTTACTTTTACTTTGTTATCTCTGAATGCTGGGAATTAGCAGAGTTCCCGCATCAGAAGCACCGGAAAAGACACAGGTCCAGGCTCATTTTTCTGATCACCTCACCAGAGGAGGGTCCCTCCACACCGCAAATGGCCCTGTGGAAGAACCAAGACCGTTTCCCTGCAGAAGCTCCTGTTGCGCACAGCTGACAGAGTGCTCAGAAGTCAGGCTCTCAGGAGCACGTCACTTACCTTCTCTTCACTCCCGTGCTCATTCTGATCACTGTCCCAGGCGCGTCCCTGACAGGAATTCACCACGGAACCCATCAGAAAGTCTGTGCTTCGGCAGCCAGGGCTGGGCCGGGCACCGGGGCCGCGGGGCTGCTGCCCGGTGTTCCCTGAAGTCTCCGTCTGGCCTGGCCCTGGAGTCCCGAGCTCGCGCTTTCCCGTTAACGAGAAAGCAAACTTATTAGGAAGTACATGACATTCTCTCTAGGGCAGCAGTTGAAGTTTCTCGTTGAAGGCAATTATTTAAAACCCAGAGGAGACTATTAGGTTCAATGAGACCGAAAAGATGAGCTGAAGGGAAGAAAATAATTGCAATTGTGACTTGTGACTGCGGGGCTCTGAGCGGTGACATGTTGCCCAACCCGTGGTCATTTTCTAGTATAGACAGGAGGGTTTTTTTTTTTTTCAAATATTTTTTATAGAGTTAATATTGGTTCACCTCACTGTTCATATTAGAGGAGCACAGGATCCCCCTTTTTGGGTGTGTTTGCCACGGTGCATCCACCACCAGAGAACCCATAATCCACCACCACAGACCCTTGTGCTCCCCCACTTCTGTGTTCTTGCTCCTCTCTCCCCCTTCTCATCCAGCTGCTCCGTTCCACAGCCAGCTTTCAAGGTGTAGATTTTTCTGACCATTTGGATTTATCTGACAATTTGTTTTGTCTTTCCATCGTCCACCTGTAAGTGACGCCATCTGGCATTTGTCTTTCTCCTTCTGATTAATTTTGCTTAGGAGAGTCTGCTCCAGCTCCTTTCTTTTTTGATAGCTGAGTAGTGTTTCTTCACACACACACACACACACACACACACACACCCCACATCTCCATCCATTCATCTGTGTTTGGGCATTTAGGCTCTTCATGCTCTAGGCTATGGGAACAGTGCTGCAACGGGAGTACCGGTTTGCTCTAAGTTAGTGTTTTTATTCTTCAGGTTGATGAATATAAGGAGTGAAATTGCTGGGCCACGTGGCAGATCTATTTGTAATCTTCTGAGAAACATCCACAACTTTCCACGGGACCTGGTGTGGTCCACATTCCCACCAGTGGTGTAATAGGGCTACTTTCTCCCCACATCCTGGCCAGCCTTCATCGCTTCTGGTCTTTTTGATACGGGCCAGGCTCACAGGTGTGAGATGGTCTCTCATTGTGGTTTTGATACGCACGTCTGTTTTGAGAAGTGATGACATTTTTTTCATGTGCCTGTTGGCTTTTTGTATGTCTTCTTTGGAGAAGTACCGATTTAGTTCTTCTGCCCATTTAGTTCTTCTGTCCACCAGAGACAGAGCGGGGAACAGAACAGGCAGATTGACTGAAAGTCACTGCTGAGGGGAGCAGCGGGCGAGGCAGGAGAGGTCTGCTGCACCATGTGGGTCACCTCCGTGGCCAGGGATGGAACTCGTGCTGTAGTAGCTGCCGATTGCTTCATACTGTGACGCTTAACCCCTTGCACCACCAGGGAGGCCCTTGGAGACCTTTTTAGAGACTGCTTGAATGGTTTTTATATCACCTTTCCTTGCAGAGTTGGAGAATTCTCAGAGTATATCTTCAATTTTTTTTTTTATTTCGTTTCTCTTCTTTTCGACTCAGATTCTTTGTTCATTCATATCTTCAAGTACACCAGTTTGCTCTTTCCTTTGGCCTATTCTTTCATAGCTTTTTCTTGAATTTTCCATCTTCTCTATTGCTCTTTTTTTTTTTTAAGATTTATTTATTTTATACAAGAACTGGGGTACAGTCAGAAGCGTGGGAGGGTGAGAGAATTCACCAGAGCCAGAGTGGGGAGCAGAACAGGCAGACGGAGTGAAGACACTGCAGGCCAGGCAGGAGAGGTCTGCTGCACCATGTGGGAATCTCCTGGCCGGCGGAGAATCAAACCGTCACGCAGAGGCTGTGGACAGCTTCACAGTGTGGCGCTCAACTGCTGCGCCACCGGGGAGGCCCTCTATTGCTCTTTTCATATCCTGAATCTCCATATTTTTCTTATTTAGAGCTTCAATTTTAATCTTCTGTTCATTGCTTTTATTTCTAAGTCATTCATTCATT